TCTACTGGTCATGGCCTCTTACTAGAACTCTGAGAATTTCCTCTCGAAGCTAGTCACTAGCGAACACATAATAATTATCAGTACAGGGTTGTGAAGATTGTTGGGTTTTATTAGGACGAAACGGTCGTCCAAAGCTCCCAGGTTTTTAAAAGCGGTCTAATGTTGGTCGGTTCATAATTTTAATGTGATAGTTTAGTTGGAGGAGTTTTATGCAGATTAGATTAATTTTCAGGCTGTATTCTAAAAAGCGTCTTGAAATGAATATATTTTTCTTCTGACTTGAAACTTGTCTAATCATGTCGACAGAAATGAAGTATGTGTGTGTACCTGCATTTTAATTTCATTTTACTCCAGCGGAAATATAAAAATGAAGCAAATTGTTGAAAGAGTGGTTGTATAAATCATTATTTTAATAATCCTTATTGATAAAATTTGGAAGTATAAATAGGAAATGAATGATGAAAATGCCAGATATAATGTTTGAAATATCTTTGATTATACGCTACAATATGAAATACGTCGAATTGCATTTTCTACTCATTTGCAAGAATTTAAATAAGACTATCAGATGAAATATTGTGATTACTTGTATAGGTAAATAGCTTATTCCGAATGCCTCTTTTGCTTAGTTGTTTAGCACTCGTGATGCTATTCAAACAAAACCTGATAAAACATAATGCATGGCATTAAATACTAAGTGATTTTAAATTTAATGAAGTAATTCAGTTACAAAGTACAACTTCATGTAATAGGCTTTAAGCTATACATTGTAATGTCATCGACAGTGATATTCACTCGATAGAACACGGTTTAAATTTGTGATTCAGCGATTAAATGTCGATGGGTTGAACTATCAAACTGATGATACATTGAAAATAATACATACATTTGTATACAAACGTTTTATTTCGAATGTGATAGTAATATCTGTCTTAACATATACTGAAAACCTGGAAGCACTGAACGGCCGTTTCGTCCTACTACGGGACTCCTCAGCAGAACGTATCCACGATCACGCACTCGCGAGATTCGAAACCAGGACCTACCAGTCTCGCCCCAGAACACTTAACCGATAGACCACTGAGCCAGCATCCAACTGTGCTAATGTCTAACTTCAACCGATCCACGATGTTTGAGCAACCGTTCGCCAATTGACGAAACGGCCGTCCAGTGCTTTCAGGTTTTCCATGGTGGTCTAGCTTCAATGGACTCTTGATTTCAACTATGAAAACACTGAAATCTCCACAAAACCCCTTCTGATCTACTGAAAAATCAAGTTAATATAATAAAAATTTTAATAATATTCAGTATATTAGTTACTTTAATCTTTACCAATATACTTTAGAAATCGACTTGTGTAACATGATTCCATGAATTTTTTTAAAATTGTTCGAACAGAAAAAAGTGAACTCAAGTGCATTCTCAAAATGTTGTAGTTTACGATAAAGTACTGGTATTTAATTTCTAATGATTAATAAAGTCTTATTTGCAAATATAATGTTGGCAGCTTATAAATCGACAAAAAAGTAATGACTTGAAATAAGTTTGGATAAGCTCAGTAAGTTATATAATAGTATAACATGAAAACAATAAGATAACATACATTCTAATTTGTAGGAAAATGATGGGTAAAGTTCAGTGTGAACACCTTATGTAACAGGATTTAGAACCGATAACTTATGGGGTTGTTTTTGTTCATACACCTAGATATAAACTGTTGGAGAGATAGGACTGTACAATGGTGAGTATAATGAAGTGTATATCCTCTTACGGTAAAATAAATACATGAGTTATTTCACTGTATGGGTATTGCTAAGCTTCATAATTATGAATATGAATAATAAATGTTCCATACCACGAAATATTAACCGATAGAACTGTACCAAAACAATTTATCCCACATAATACAGGTTAGGGTATTAATATATTAATAAATCCTCTCTCTTGAGAATATAACTCGATAAACATACGATACTTAAACTAACAGTTATTATCAAATAAAAATGTAGTACACTCAATTACTGGACTGTTTCTAGGCTCCTAAAACTTAGACTCTTCTACTGAGAAAGTAAAACGAAACTATATGGAAACATGAGAGGAGTTTTTACTGTTTAAGTTAGTTCATGTATAGATTAAAGCATATTTATTGATCTACAAGTGATCTTGTTTTATTAGAAACTTAAAAAAAATACTAACATTGGTGATGAGTCCTCCAATTAACCAGTGACATTAAACAAAAGTATGAATAGTATGGCAGTTCCTAGAAGCATTCCACAGTCAAAGAATTTTACAAGAAAAAAGCAATTTCATTCTTAGCATCAGGGAACGATCTCAGTTAGACGACCACTAAAAACTGGGAAGCACTGGATAGCTGTTTTCTCTTAGAATGGGACTTCTCAGCAATGAGGAACCACAATTAAGCTACAACGGATCAAACCCAGAACCTTCGGTCACACGCGAGAACCCACTGACTCTAAACCAATGGGTCGGCGTCCAGTGGCTTACACATTTAACGTCGATCAATTTATAATATCTCTCGATAATCACCTTCCAATGTGCTTGGTAGATAACTGACTTACACTTGACAAGTCTGAACTCTACTGATGATGGCTTTCAAATGGAACTCCGGAATAACATCCATAATCAGTTAACGGTAATTATATGAACTTTCCTACAGTCTAAAGAATTTTTCAAGAAGTTATACACAGGCATCTGTTTGTATTTATTTCTTTACTGAGTTTCTCTATTGGAAGAGAATCGCAACGTAGTAACTAACCCAGAATATGATAACTCACACACTAGCATTTAGTCAGTTAGTCACATGCAACATCGAACCTAGTACATGTGTGCATCGGTCCAATTTTGCATACAGAACTTACACAGCGAAATGAGATCATAAAGACAGATACCAGAATTTTACAACTAGTAACAGTATCTGTGGTAATATAAAAGATTAAGCATAGAATATAAGACGAATTCGTGGGATGGAGAAGTATAAAATCTAAGTGGAGAAAAAGAGGGATCGTATTAACCCCGTCGCGACTGATTCTGAGCCATATCACCCAATGTTTTCAAACACTAGTTACGAACATCGCATACTCTGTATCTACCTAAACGGTTCAGTCTATAAGTCAATAACTTTATGGACTGACACCGATTCTTAGATTGTCTACCTCTAGCTTCCTTCCAGTTCTTTCCTAAACCAAACAACACTAACTGTCGAGGTAGGAAACGGTTGATCATACGTAGTACATGTCTCAATTACATCAGCAGATGAAGATACACTACTTCATCAAACACTTTACCATTGAAGTTTAAACTTAGCATTAATCCTAACATACACAACCAATGTGTTTAAAAAGGATCTATGATAAGAAACAAGTACCACATGAATATCCTCTGCTTTTAAAGGCAATGTTTAACAGCCAAAAAGTAGAATAAAAATGATATAACAAATAACAACGAAATTATGTACCTTAAAATAAATTATACTGAATACAGTGTACAACAAAACAATTTCAATATTAATAGTAACACAAAACAAAAAAAAGATTAGAAAACCCGAAGTTAGGACTAAAATATGTTTAGAGAGACAAAAAAAGAAACTTTATTGTACGTGTAAAGTCATAAATTACTTATGATGAATGATAGCTCAACACCTGCCCCTCACAAAGAAAATTGATGTGAATAGTAAAAATAGCTAATGAAGAGAATGTTACATGTTCTTGTTTTGCTGGGATGCTTGAATCAATGGTAATGGTACAATTGTCCTGTAACTAATCCAAGTCATTACCAGTTTGTAGTGATAGAAATTGCTTAACAATGTTAACTTGGAGGTGGTTCAATATATATCTTATGTATACAAAACTGATTAGCAACACAGTGTTTTCTACGCATTTTACATAATTACATTGTATTAGAGATTTATTTATTGACCCAGCTCAGTAGATACAAGTTAGTATACTTGACTTCAAGCTATACTTTAAGTGTGATTAAGGGCTAGTGAGACCCCTTAGTTACCCAAACTGAAGTAGGTGAGGTTAAGTGCGAATCTGTAACTGACTTGCTCAAAGTTGAATGTCTTAACCAGTGAGTTAACCCTCTGCTATTGATTGTGTAAGAAAAGTCTATCATGAATTAATCACAATACACAGTGAAATAAGGTTCGCATGATGACAATGTTTAGTAACACACTGAGATTCTCATGTCCACCACAAGGTTTAAATCTAAGTAATGTATTCTTTGTTAAGATAGTTTTTCTCTTTGAGATAACCGTCAGAGAAGTAACTGAAAATTTAATAGCTATCAGGTTTAAGTTCTCCTTAGCCTACTTCGGTTTGTGATCCGGATAGTATTGAATTAGATTTTATATAGAAAAGATGGTTAAACTTTAAGCACATGAACATGTACTAAGTTATTGAAGTTTGTGACTACAGGATAGTGATTGGGAATATCAGATGATCGGCTTGTCTATCAAAGTCTGAACACATAGATACATTATATTTACCGAGATAAAAATTTAAATGTTAGATAGCACAAAGGCTCAGAAAATTTAAGTTGTTTCATTTAAATTGAGTATTGTGAAGTCAGTAATTTAGATAAGTTTAAGGAAGGAAGGTAAACTAAACATAATTTTTATGACTGAAGATATTAGACTCAATGATTTCGCTATGATTTCCTTAGTCCAGTTAATCAATTTTCTATGTATGTTGGAAACATACATAACTATACTATAGCATAATCACTACATGGTGACCTTTATATTCAAAAGTTTTTTTCTATTTGAATCAACTGAGAGCTTTACTCACAAGACCATTGGAGATTTGATTTGTCTATTGTGCGTACAAGTTTGTTCAAAAATGAATTCATTCGTGAATACAATGTCTTGGTGACAAAGATGAAATATATGATTCATTTACATGTAAATACACATTTGAAATTTAATGTACTTTACAAAATAAATAAACATACAATTTTTTGAATGAAAAAAACAAACATACTTCACTAGATTCTGAACTATTCGAACGTCTTCGACTACTGGCTTGATCATGTTCTAATGCGTGTAGAACATCAAAATCTGATGATCTGACATCGACAACATTATTTTTCGTACCATATTCATTGTCTACAGTTGGCTATTGGGAAAATAGAAAATAAGAAAGGAATAATTTGTGAGGAGAGAGAGAAACAGTGAGGATTGATAAAGTTTGCGATAATCATCAAACAATGAATGATATTGGTTTTTCTTTGAATAAAAGGACAGAAAAACAAACAAACAAATAGGTTTGTATGATTCTTATTTTTAAAAATTAATAGCCTATGCGTAGTAATTAGAGGAAGTTCCAATAATTCTTTTTTACTGCTAGAAAAAAGATTAGAATCCAGTAGCTTCCGCTTCAAACATTAACATGTGATTTACTCAGTTCAAACGGATATGATGTTAATAACATTAACAGTAAAAGAGTGAATTATTTTATTGTCAATATTTAGAACTGAATTTTGATCCGTTTTACTAGGTAATCTATATGAATTGTGTGGAGATTATCTTGATTTAGTAAAATATATAGAATAAATATATGTTAGCAAAGAATGAATTACATTTTGAATTGGTCCAACGTACTTTTTAGTAGTGCTTACAAAAAAAGTCAGTCTTATACTTCTTATACTATACTGACTAGGTCAATAATCAACTGTTCACTTCCGGACAGATGATATTCTATGATATATTAAAAAAAATTTAGATATAAACGACTTGTCAGTTGCTTTCCCGGAATTTTACTTAGGAAGTTATTTAGTCGTAAACTGGGTTAAACTTGGTTTAAATATAAATCGGCGCAAAATAATCGTAAATGCGGTTAACACGAAAAAGGGATCTAAGATATAAGAAGTATCGAAACAGGAATATTAATAATTTTAAAATTCAGTATCTAGGAGAATGAAGACAGTGATGATGCATAACTCCGAGATTGAGTCATGTCTTTCGGATGACAGATAAGATATCTGCATCTTCTGATAGTCAAAACTAATCATCGTTTGACTAGTTTTAGTCTATACCGACCGTTGCTGCTACCTTGACGTGGTGGTCGGGCTTGCCTATCGTGATGAAGCAATCGAGCTATACCGGCTGGAACAATTGTTTCTCGAGGTCCTACCATGCCAGACAGGTCGGTTGAAGAGCGGTAAGACTAAAAGCAGCAATCTCAAGGTCCGAAGACGAAGTCGTACTGCTGACTGTACAGAGGTGTGACGGCAGTAAGGTGTTTCCTTCAGACAACCAGCATAAAAGCGATACTGCCTTCCCACAAGGAGGGGTGGGTTAGAAAGGGTCGACCCTATAAATGCACACCTCGTCTTATCCCACGGATTTCCGTCTCCGGCAGTAAGGTCCTTTGAAGAATGGAGCTAACACTTCAAAAGTCCCCCACAAAAAGGCCGTACGTGATCGGCCACAGGCAGTTGTCCCTTGGGCACTGCGGTCACGCTCCCAGGTCGCTAAGACCAACACTAATCCACCTTCTTTTCCAGGTCCCTCAAGAAACATCTTTCCAAGGTGTGAGCAGCCGGGAAGTGATATTAGCCCTCATACCCATAACAGCACACGAGACCAAGTTGGTCACTTTCAAATCCTTCCTACACCTAATAACTCTCTTATCTCCACGACTAACCCTTCCCACGTCCTTTTATGACCTCGCACCGCTAGGGCAAACGATTCAAGTACACGGAACGTTATTCCTGGTCTCCTGAAACCACGCTCTAAACTACATATAGGAACTTTTAATGTCCGAACATTGTGCCAAATAGGACAACAGGCTTCCTTAGCTAGGACTCTAGAATCTTACATCATCGATGTGTGCTGCGTCTCCGAAACGCGCATACAAGATCCGAGTAGTGTCATTCATTTGACCTCACCTAATCAAAATAAAGATTCATCTCGATACACGCTTCGTGTATCTGGAAGCCCTGATGCTGCTTCCCCTAACCTCGCTGGAGTAGGTATAGCATTAAGTCCTAGGGCAGAACTAGCTCTTTTAGACTGGATCCCAGTAGACAGTCGTCTATGCGCTGTCCGACTAAACGGATAAGTAAGGACTCGAAAAGATAGGGAAACTCGTCGTTGCCTCTTCGTCGTCTCTGTCTACTCTCCCACTGACTGCAGCTCAGACGATATAAAAGATGAGTTTTACAGGAAACTTTCTGACCTTCTCCGAACAGCTAGGCGTTGTGATGTAGTAATAGTGGCTGGTGACTTTAATTCTCAAGTAGGTAAACTAAGTGATAGGGAAAGACACCTGGGTGGATCCTACGGTGTCATGGCTAAAAGAACAGATAATGGCGACCGTCTGTTGCAACTGTGCTCAGATAACCGCCTATTTCTTACAAATACTAACTTTAAGCACAACGAAAAACATCTTTTGACATGGCGACCCCCGAATTCGTCCCAACGTTGGACCCAATTAGATCACATCGCTATCAGCCCCCGATGGATGGGCTCGATAGAAAACTGTCGCTCATTTTGGAGCACATGTTTAGACTCAGATCATGCTCTAGTGCGAGCACGTATCTGTCTGCGTCTTACTGGACGTAGGAAAGACACTGCAGGGAAGCCTCTAAGGGTACTACTTAATGATAAGCAAGCTAAGAATATATTTCAGGAACATCTGAAAAAACAGTTAGACAGACATGTGAGTTGTGCCCACCCCGAAGCAGCATGGAATGACATCCGAAAAGCTGTTGAAACAGCAGTGATATCCGCTAGTAAGGTAAGCCATAAGGTCAGGGAGAAACAATGGATCTCGGCAGCTTCTACCACACTGATAGATACTCGAAAACTCATCCCACCTGGCTCTGAACATAACGAAGAGCGGAGTCAGCTTAAGCGAAGGCTAATAAGAAGCCTACGCAATGATCGTGAACAGTGGTGGGTAGCAAAAGCAAGAGAGATGGGAAAGGCAGCGGCAATAGGTAACAGTAGGCAGCTATTCAGACTTATTAAAGAAACCGGCATTAGGAACCCAACTAGTAGCGAAACTATCTCAGACAAAGACGGGCATATCATTCATTCTCAATCTAGGAGATTGGATCGATGGGGAGAACACTTTAGGGATCAGTTCAACTGGCCTTCAGCCACACTTCAGTTACCCACGATCCCCAGTCATCCTGAACGGCAAATTGAGGTAAGTCCTCCAACTCTCTACGACGTTGAAAAAGCTATAGGAAATCTAAAAAGAGGGAGAGCCGCAGGCCCTGACAGGTTTACCCCTGAGATTTTTAAGGATGGTGGTCCAGTACTAGCAGCGAGATTGACTGAGGTCTTAGGTAGAATCTGGGAACTGGACGTAATTCCATCTGACTGGTCCCAATCGTTGATTGTGCCAGTCTATAAGAAAGGACAAAAGTCCTCCTGTGACAATCACAGAGGGATCAGTTTGACTAATATAGTGTCTAAAATATTAGCTTCAATAATACTAGGTCGCCTAACCAAAGCTCGTGAAGAGCAGACTAGAGAAAACCAGGCTGGTTTTCGACCTGGACGTGGTTGCATAGACCAGATATTCACTCTACGTCAGGTCCTAGAACATAGACACAAATTCAGACGTCCCACAATAGTAGTATTTCTTGACCTTAAGGCGGCATTTGACTCCGTTGATCGTGAGGTTCTATAGCAGTGTTTGTCACTGAAAGGAGTACCAAAGAAGTACATTAACCTCATAAAGGCTCTCTACTCGAACACAACTGGTCGAGTTAGAGCCTATGGCGAACTGTCATCAGAATTGGTTACCTCAAGTGATGTTCGTCAGGGCTGTCCACTCTCCCCATTCTTGTTTAACTTTGTCATTGACATGCTTTTAGAGATATCACTTTCATCATCTCAATCTCCTGGAGTTGAACTTTTACCGAGAGATTCACTTGTTGACTAACAGTACACCGACGACATATTTTTATTCGGTGAAGACGCTGACAAAATGCAAAGTCTTCTGACCACTATAAGCAACAATGAAGGCATGTTCGGGATTCGATTCTCTCCCTCGAAGTGCAAAATGTTACTTCAGGATTGGGTTGCATCGACACCTCAACTAATGATAGGGAGTGAAGTAGTTGAGCGTGTTGACCGCTTTACTTATCTTGGGAGTCTCATCAGCCCTTGTGGTCTGTGTGACGAAATCTCTGCACGGATACAGAAGGCTCGTCTAGCTTTCGCCAACTTGCGTCATTTATGGCGTAGGCGAGATATCCGTCTAGCAACAAAAGGACTGGTTTACTGTGCAGCAGTCCGTTCCGTCCTTCATTTCATTTCATTCATTTAAACACATAAATATTGGTACAAGGAAGCACCAGATAGATATGCGCCTCACAAATCTCATTCGATTTGTGTGAGGGCTGTGATACTGCCCAGGTTCCCAAACTGAAGCAGGTGGTTTTCTTAGGGGCCCACACCCGGAGCCTTTGACCGAAAGATCTGATCCACAAGACAGTGGAGCATCGTGAGGAGATGCAGTCCCATGGTAGTCGGTGGCCAGCGATTGATTCATACGCCATTTATTCATTCAGGATACTGGAGCCCATGTGCACCATTTGTTTGGAATCAGGGTTTTCCAACTCCCCTAGGTGGACATTCCGTGTCCACCAACCCGGTTAAAGCGCCGGGAATTCGCTTTTCGTCCTCTCACTTTCGTGAACACCCCGCCACGAGAATGCAGTGAGTAGGACTTCCCTGGCAGAGGCTTTTTATTCGCTGGCCATGTGAGAGCATTTGGAGAGGGAGAGCGGACTCTCCTCACTCTCGGCTGTACCAGGGCATTTGGGGGCTCCGTCCTACTTTATGGCAGTGAAACATGGCCGGTAAGAGTAGGGGATATTCTTAGGCTACTAGTATTCGATCATAGATGTCTTCGAAGCATAGCTCATATATCCTGGGACCACCGACTAAGCAATGCAGTCGTTAGGAAACGGGTACTAGGTAAGGATGGCGAATCGATCGATGAAGTAGTGAAACTTCATCAGTTGAGACGGCCGGGATATGTGTTACGTATTCCCAACCACCGACTGCCCTGACGTGCAATGCTTTATGGTGTAGGAGCTGGTTGGAAGAAAGCTAGGGGCGGCCAGACCAAAACATGTATGGAGATACAGAAAAGTAACTGTATCGTTTTAGAGTAAAATAGCTCCATAGACCTGGAATGAATCATTACACATTTACACAAATTCATGAAGTCGCTGACAAGTGAACTGGGTCATGTTGGTAGGTGTAGACTACCAGGTTGGGATTCGCGAGATGATAGCAACCGATGGTTAGAGACCTTGAATGACATAGCTCAAAATCGTTTGCAATGGCGAAGGTGCATACACTCTTTGTATTCTACCAAATACTAATCTTCTGAATTCCTCATGTCCCTATCCTTTTTCTCTTTCCAAATTTATTTCACCGTATTATACTTCTTAAATAGCATCTTCGAACCCTTACCCTTCACATAATACTTATACTCTTACTACTTCTACCAATGTGGGGTTGGAATCGACAACTTCATCTCTGTGCTCATGTGGTATGGCAACTTGAACTGATGTACGTACGTACGAAGTTCTAAGTTGTAACTGATTGACTGATACCAAATCGCTTCTGTGCTAGCTAGTGCAATACGATTTTGGCAGGCGGCCATTAGGCCTGTGTGAAATATTTTATGCAATCAATCTTCCTTGTTCATATTCGTGTTCACTAATTTTGGGCTCTCGTTGAGCGTCTAGTAATTATGAAAGCTAAGCTTGTAGAGATCATATTAGCTGAATTAATTCTTTTAACATTATGGAAGAATTTTTGTTGCACATTATAAATTAGAGAGATCAGCAGCAACGATCAGTCTCATATGGAACAACATCCAACTCTTAAACTTTAATCAATATTTTAAACACTTAAAGTATTAACACTTGATTAAAAACTTTGAAGATAAAGAGTTCCTAATAGCCCCAACTAGTTCAAATAAGGCATATATTTCTGTAAATCTGGACAGATTACATTGTTTTAAGGCCACATGATACGTGAGGAAGGAAATCAAATGGGACGGCATTGTGAATATTGAATTCTGAATCTGATCGAGGGTCATACCCTATATATATATATATATATATATATATATATATATATATATATATATATATATATGCCAATCGATGTTAGGATACCTAGTAGGAAAAACAGGTAAAGAGAATGACATTAGTACTGCTGGAGAAGAGTGAGCTCGTCATCAGTGAAATCCCTTAAGTTGAATGTATGACAGACTCATATTTCGAACTCTTAAATCAAGAAATAACAAAAAGTCATACAGTGATTTTACTTCATCGAATGGTGTGTTATACAACAAAAAAGCATTAAAAACCAAAATATTTCGCTTACTATTCACACTCACTCACTTTGGTTGGATCATGATACCATGCTCCATCAATGAAGTACTTATATTGATGAGTACCAGGTTTACAATCAACAATTACATAAACCCCTGAGTTTCTAGGAAAAGATAATACAATAAGAATAAACGACAAAATATCAGAAGTAAATTTAGTTATATATAGTCAGTCATACACAACAAAGAACCAGACGAACATACACATCGGTTTAAGTTGTCACACCATCATAATATAGAGGTGCAATTATCAAGAAAAATAAATGTACCAGTTCTCGTCATTGTAACTCAATCTCTCTCTCTCTCTCTCTCTCTCTATATATATATATATATATATATATATATATATATATATATATACACAAAAACTTCACGAAGCAAAATAATTCAGTAATTTACACCGACTGGTAATAATAATAATAATATGTGTTTTCAAGGATTAAGCAACAACGTGAAGTTTTAACTTTTAATAGTCGTATGATTGTTAAACTCATAAATTGAAATTCTGGTTTTCATCTGTTATTAACTGGTTACACATTTTTTTAGGAACTTTAAACAATGAAGCAGAACTTAATTTCATGCATAATAATAAGTACATTACTGAAATTATGAACTGATCAGTGTTTCACCACCACTAAAAACCTGGAAGTATTGGACGGGTGGTTCACCCCGTCGCCTCGATAGTGTGCATTCACGATTCCGCACACGGGAATCGGGCCCAAGACCTTCAGTCTCGGGCGTTTATCATGAAAATTTTGCATCCAGTTCACTTCATTACTCATTCAAGAACAAATAATTAAATGTTCAAGAGTTTCAATAATTTTGTTATGTCCTGATAAGAATAGTGAATGGGAACTTTATGATCCACTTATGAACCAATTCTATGCATATATTTCTTATCATATAATTGCTAAATCACTAAACTATTCATATTCATGTTCCCCTTATTATGAGTTCTATTTTGACTTATGAACTATTGTCATACGACACACCGTTCTTGAATTATGCCCTGTCTATTATTTACTATCTCCCTCATTCACAGCCACATTCAGCTAAATCATGAACAAATGTTATTTTCTTTTTTATGGTACGATGTGGTCTCTTTGATTGGTATATGAACTTAGTATGTTTGAAATATAACGATTCATACCGCATAGGCTGAGATTGGTGTTTTGGACTTTACTGGCTGAGCTAGGCAGAAAGCAGAACCGACGAGTACTCTAAAATGTTCGTACGAGTTTCGTGTGTCATTGGTCCGGTTGATAAATCGCTACTCTCTGATTGGCGGTCTTATCACGTTGAACATTATCAGGACATCCACTTGGTCACAAGTTATAACAAATTTAATCGTTTGTTTTATAGTACCTTGAGTCAGACTATATTAAGGAATTCAAGTTTAATGAGGTAGTTTGTATAAATTTATTCAATTTAAAATTTTTTTCTAAATAAGAAACTGATATCAACTAGGGTATCATCACTGGAAATCAGAAAACAATGACCAGCTATTTTAGTCTAAACTTTGGTACTCCACGCGTATACAACCACTGGCAGGGAAGTCCTACTCACTACCTTCTCAAAACATTGCTGTTGTTTACGAATTTGAGAGGACGAAAAGCGGATGTCCAGTGTCTTAACCGGGTTGGTGGGTACGGAGAATTTACCTAGGTGAATTGGAAAACCCTTATTCCAAACCAATGGTGCACATAGGCTCCAGGATCCTAAGGAAACAAATGGTGTATGAACCTATAGTAGGTCACCGACTAGCCTTGTGGATCAGACCTTTAGGTCAAAGGCTCCGGGTGTGGTTCCCTAAGAAAATCACCTGCTTCAGTTTGGGCACTCGGGCAGTATCCTAGCACTCACACAAACCAAGTGACTTGTATGGCGCATATGTATTCGGTGCCCCTTTGTACCAATATTTGTGTCCACATAAATAAATAAATAAATCGATGAGCAGAAACATAATTCTGCAAGGAGAGGAAATCAGGATACTTGACCAATGAGGAAACAAATGTTCAAAATATTTTTTAATCTTTATTGGTTCTGTTCGCATATTACATCAATTTGTGGTAAAAAGGTAAAGTTTTAATCAAATGAAACAATTTAATTTGTGTCTAAATCATCCTAAACCAATTTAACAAACTCTAGTTACTTTTTTAATATAACAGACAGAAGTGAAGAGTTGTTTGGTTACTTGTACTATTCATTAACAATCTTGGTTTTCCAATAAGTAACTTCTGCTATACAACATTGGTTGGATATTAAGGTATATGAATGGAAGTTTTAGCTCATTAATACATTCAGTCATTTATCCAGTGGTTGATTCTTCTGAAAGATGACCACTTGAATTTCACAATCGGTTCATGGAAAAACTTATTCAGTTCATTTAACCAAGTCATTTATGTTATCTCACGAATCAAGCAATAATGGAAGGGTGTATTGGACTATATGATTTTGAAGGAAAATGAACAATATATGAATCGAATCAAAGGTGTTACCATTTTACCAAGGTTACCAAATAGGAATTCAGTATTATTTGGTTGTAGGAGTGATATGAAGGGGCATGAATTACTGCTGATAGTTAGTTATTAATTTCATTCTAGAGTGAGTGACCTATTGTTATCATATGTTTTAATCGTTTATTTTTTAAACGATTTCTAGTCAAGTTTATTTTTGTGTTAATATTTGTATAGAAACACGTTATTACAGTGAAAAGCCTATTTTAATAGAAAGCGGTCTTGTCTTTTGATATCAGTTTAGTTTAGGATTTATATCAATAATTCAGTCTCGTGGACAGATATCTGTTGCCCACTTCACATATCAGTCAGCATTCTTTTCTTCTATTTAAACAACCGAAAATTCATTCATAAAATCGTTTTATTTATTTATTTATACACATAGATATTGGTACAATGAAGCACCAGATAGATATGCGCCTCACAAATCTCATTCGATTTGTGTGAGGGCTGTGATACTGCCCAGGTTCCCAAACTGAAGCAGGTGGTTTTCTTAGGGGCCCACACCCGGAGCCTTTGACCGAAAGATCTGATCCACAAGACAGTGGAGCATCGTGAGGAGATGCAGTCCCATGGTAGTCGGTGGCCAGCGATTGATTCATACGCCATTTATTCATTCAGGATACTGGAGCCCATGTGCACCATTTGTTTGGAATCAGGGTTTTCCAACTCCCCTAGGTGGACATTCCGTGTCCACCAACCCGGTTAAAGCGCCGGGAATTCGCTTTTCGTCCTCTCACTTTCGTGAACACCCCGCCACGAGAATGCAGTGAGTAGGACTTCCCTGGCAGAGGCTTTTTATTCGCTGGCCATGTGAGAGCATTTGGAGAGGGAGAGCGGACTCTCCTCACTCTCGGCTGTACCAGGGCATTTTGGGGGCCATAAAATCGTAATTCATAGCGGTATCAAATCGATTGTACCATCATAACATACAGGTTTTTAAACTATAGAACTGAAACAACCATCCCTTGAAGAGAGTGAATGATTTCTTACACAATAATATTTCTTGTTCAATCTGTAATAGTAGTAGTAGTAGTAGTAGTATTCTGTGACCTCTAATCGAATGGACTTAAGAAAACCTTTTGAATCATAAAATACAAAAACTTGGTAATATTTATTACAAAGTTTTAACAATAGTGATAATGAAAAACTGACTTTTACCCAAGAAATTATATGAAACTTATCACAACACAAAGCATTTTATAATTGTGTATAGTTAAAAAGCATGCCCTCAAATGAACCAATCGCACTGCCTTGTGGATCAGACCTTAAGGTCAAAGGCTCGGGGTGTGGTTCCTTAGGAAAACCACCTGCTTCAGTCTGGGCACCCGGTCAGTACCACAGCCCACACACAAATAAACGAAATGACGATTCCTACTGACAATACTATTCTCGCTCCTACTAGAAACAAGACAATTTACATTATTATTATTTACCACGTCGCTTTTTCACTCCCTTTTATTCCCAATTTGTGTATCCTTACTTTTCAACTTATGCAGCAGCTCGCCCATGGTGGAAACTCTGTTCTATCTAAACGATCTCCAGTCACTGTCTGATCAAAAGTGAATGCCTCCACCGATTACGAATACTGAACCAGTCTTTCCCTGGCTGGGGTGAGAGAGATGGTGTAACACAGTGGCTAGAGACGTTATCAGATATGGTTCAGAAAAAAAGCCAGTGGCGATCCTGCTGTAACCTTCTCTTACTTTCTTCATAAAGAGTGGTTTTAACTTTCTTAACTGAGTCTTCCGGTTGTACATTTCAGTCCTCCCGATCATTACTCTTCTCTCTTTTCATTCTTTTTTTCCCTTCATATATACGCATTTCCCCCTTTCTCTTCCCATTCTCATTGTTTTGTGTGGCGCATATATATCTGGTGCCCCTTTGTACCAATATGCATGTGTTTAAATAAATAAATAAATTAATTAATTAAAAAGCATAATATACATATTTTAACTGTTTAAATGTTAAGTGTTATTGAATTAACAATGGATCATAATACTTCTTTTCAAAAAAATAATCCTAGCAATATCATGTTTCAATGTCTATGACATTGATTAATAGTTTTTAGAAGAAACAACTGATTAGTATACTACTTAAAAGGTCAATGTCAACACATTGACTACTTATAATATGGATGAATTGATTAATATAAGTTGTTGGGTGATTATATATGGTAAGCAACGTTAAACGTAAAAAAAACACTCAAACTATGTACTTCGTTTTTTAAAAAATATTAATGTTTCATGTAATAATTTCTGACGACATATTTATCAATTTTATTTTGACCGGTATATAAGTAAGTTAGCAAAAATGTAGAAGCGACCAAATTAAAACGTGGCATCAGTCCATGAAGTCAGCGACTATTGATTTGAGTTAATGTTGGTTGGTGGAAACTATTTTGGTCGGTATTCATGTGATAACCTTCACCAGTGATTGGAGACATCAGTTAATATAGGATCAAAATAAGTTATAATGGGGCATTCATTCTTTATCTTCTTCTAGATCTTGTGTACCAGCAACCCAGAATGTATATCTTGTATTCCGCCTTTCCGAACCATATTCTCAGTATTTATCCCTCCTTATTACCGGTGTCACTACATTATTTCGACTAATTTACTATTCAATTTGTTACACAAACAATGAATCAAGACTCATTTACTCTGAATATATATACATATATATATTGGTGTCATTTAAAACAAAATACTTATATTTCATAACCTCAACATCATTATAGCGTCCATGATGTTATGGTTTATAGTTGCTGGAAAACTTGCTACTATCATCATCATTTTGGGATTTTATAATCAATAAAGTGATAGATGATTTCAACGTATTGTAACAAACTAAGAGCGTATGGAAACTATTGTTTAGTTAGCTAGGCTAGAAAAATTACTTATACACTATGAGATATTTTAACTAATCTGGTATTGCAAACATTAGAATTCCAGTAGGAAAGAATCGAATTATCCAGCATTTCAAAATTTACGAATTCAACTAATTATATAATGTAAAACTGAACTTTCTATTGTCCGATTAAGGTTTAATGGTATTAATCGGTCTAAATAGATTGGTTAGATTCATATAATTCGAACAAATATTATTTTTTGACCAGTCTCTTTTTCTGACTGATAAAATTTGCTATCATAAACTAACAGGATGATTATTCAGTGTTCTAATAATCTGACCTGATAAAATTCACTGACCACTTGTCATTTAATCGCATGATGTTGGATTCAAACAAATTTGATTGCATAAAATAGATGGAATGTGGTTAGTAGTGGGATCGAGGACGTGCATTTCGTCCTATTTGGGACTTGTCAGCCGGATGTACCTGCATATATATCAACTAAAACTGAACACATTTCAGTCAAAATATGAGCAAACACGATAGTCCAAAGGATTACAAATTAGATTAAAATCCAAACCCGTTGAACAAGTGAGTGGCAATTTAGACTCATTAGCCAATTGGATAATGGGTTAGCTTTTGAAACGAAAGGTAATGGATTCAAGTCTTAGAGTGAAAATTAATTATGGAATACAGGTGCATGTGGCTGAAGAGCTCCAAGTAGAACGAAATGCGCGTCCAGAATTCTACTGCTAGCCACGTTCTACCTATTATATACTAAATTGTGTCGAGACGATTCTTACGGGATGTACATATGCCAACTTAGACTGACAAAATTTCAGTCAAGGTATCAACAACAGGATAATCGGGACCATTATAAATGAACTTAAAATTGATTGTAATATAATACAGGCGTAAAATAACATTCTTTTTTATTATAATACAAGAACGAAAAGTACGAAAAAAAATATTTACTTCAGGAAATAAATTACCTTTTAACCATAGGAATTCTTTTCTCCCAATTATTAAAAGTTCCACTAATATATATATCTTTACCACCACCATTCCATCGAAAAACAGTAGGAAGTTTTAAACCAACTAACTTTCTGGTTGGCAAAGTTCTTGCACGATCCCTGGAAACATTGTTTAAAATAACTTGTGGTTGACTATGCTTATACATTATTCGTTCATCTGTTGAACATAATGGACCTGCACTAGATGGTCTTTCTTGAAGAAAATTGGGTATTTTTTCATCACCACTAGAAGTTGTTGACGTTATCATGTTGTCAGATGGTAGCACATTATATGACCGATTATTATCATCAAGATTATCGTGAGCATTGATTATATTAATAGGTTCACGTAGACTGGCAGCTCGCATCATTGATGTAGCTTCATCAATAGAGACTGTATCTTTATCATCAAGACTAACATTGTCGTCATTCAATGACGTTTCATCATTAGGATAATCGGCTGGAGCAGACCGTGATAAATCCTAAGAGAGAAATTAAGTAATATTAATACTATGGTGCGTAGTTTAAATTAGATACCATAAAATGACCAGATATATTTGATCGATTTCAACTCTTCTTTTTGTAAAACTGAATTAGGTCAAATTTTGGAATAAAAGTACTGGTTACTCATTGTGTATACACACGTACATATATATGAGATTATCCAATCTACTGTAAGAAAATGTCACATCAAAAATTTATTTTTGGTGATGTTGTTCAGGTCATTTTATAGAAACGAACCAAACAACTGAATAGTGGTTACTGATTAACTGGAATTAACAGTTGAATCCTTTGGTCTTGTTGATGGCAAACAAAATGAAACACACCCGTAAATCACAGATCACATAGGGGTGGACGGACAAGTAAATCACTCATGAAAATTGACTAGCTAAAACTAAAACTGAAGTGTGCAACAATGTTTGTAGAGGTAGATAAAAGAAAAGAAAACAAAAAAATTATTTTTAACTCATAAATAATCATTCACTTAATCGAAACCATGCTAGGTTATACATTTATTATTCGACAGAATGAGGAATTAACGAATAATATGGAATCTTCTTGTGGGTTGTTCAGTTTATTAGCACACTCAAACGAGTTCCAGATGGATATGACCAATAAATTACTAAGTTGACCGTGTATTTTTTGGTGTTTAGCGTTTGGTTCCTTTGAAAAAATTTACAACTCATATTTTTCAGGAAACGTAAGTACAATAAGATCAAGACAGTGAAAGCGTTCGCTATGAGTGTAGAAGACATAAGCAGATTGCGATTAATTGTTTATAGGTGTATTTGCGGTATTGCTTGTGCAATTAGTCAGTCAGCTACAACATAGGACCAGGCACATATATACATCGGTCCAAGTTGCCATAACCTCATTAACACAACAAGATGAACATCGAATTCATAGAAGTAGTTAATTTAATGGTGATAATATATAAAAGAAAGATTGTATATAAGGATATGGTATAGGAAGGAAGACAGATATGAAGCAATTTTAATCTCATAGTTTAAGGGAATACAGGGAGTGTACACATTGTAATTGATTTTGAGCCATGTCACACAGAGTCACCAACCATTGGTTATGATAGTCGTGCGGACCCCAACCAAGTAATTTGCATCTACCAACATGGCTCAAACTAGAAGTTAGTGACTTCAAGCATTGACGCCACGTTTTGGTTTGGCCGCCCCTAACTCTCTTCCAATCATCCCCTATACTAGTCAGCATTGTGCGTCGTTGTAATCTGTGTTTGGGCATACGTAACACGTGTATTGCTTGTGCACGATGGAGCCATCGTGTAAGTGATGAGGCAAGGTTGAAGGTCTTAGGTAGGAAAGATAAGCTGACTGATAAAGCATTAAACTTTCGTCAAATCATGAGATTGAGATGTGATACGGATATATAGCCATTGCCAATGAAATGAGTAATAGTGACTGGTATGGGAGTAGGCTGGGAGAAAATGAATGGCAACCACGCGAAGAAATAACATCGTTTCGTGAAGTTTGTGCCGTAAAATTAAACTCTGTGGTTAGGACCGGTGAGATAGTCGTAATATCTGGCTGAAGACATTTGATAACACTGCTTAAACTCAGTTACAATGGCGTCCATGCATATGTCTGTATGAAAATATTGGTATAGAAACGGGTTAGATCAAATGTATCAGGTTCGACATTGATTATAACTGACCGGTTGATCTCAGTATCATTAAATGCTTCACGTTTTTTAATCTTATTTGTCTCTTTTTAAACACGTATTTCTTTGTTTAACCTTACACAGCGGTTCATATTACTTCATCTCTTTTGCTTTTTGTATTTTTTTCGGTTTCCTCACTTTTCTGAAGTGAGGTTTCCCAAATATGACCTATACACATTTAGGCCAGGTCATACATTGTTTACGAGTGGCTAGATCTGAGAAGACTGATGGCAGTATGAAAAAGAATCACCACAAGAAACTAAAAATATCCGAGGCTCTTCAGTAGCATCCAAATTTGATTAGCCATGTAAGAATAAACCGGTAAGTTTCAAACTTTTATTATTAGTAGTAATACATTAGAAGTAAGCTGTTCGGTAGCACTTTGATGGTTAGCATTGCTAGCACCATTTATTTTATAATGCGGCACAACTACGTACCATGGTTGACAAGTATTTAATCTAATTCTGTACTTGTTTCGTTCAAAAGTTTACATCAAAGTACACAATGAACATGTTTATACATCATATGCCACTCATATAAAGAATCCCAGCATTTTGTTTTATTATGGAACACAAAATCATTTAAACTTGCTCACCAGCCTAACTGCTATTAAATATATAGACAGTATAAACAAGTTATCAACCTAATGAAAGGGTAATCAAGAGTTACTTACTGTCAAACTATGAGTATTTCGTTTTTTCGGTGGAGGGATAGTAACACTGACACCAGGTGGTGTGGAGTTGGGGAGTCTACCACAAACGTCTCCAGAAAAGCGTCTTTTATAGTGAGTCGGAGTATTCCCCATAATTGAGTATACACAGATTTACAAATTAATCCGAAATCTATAGAAAGATTTAAGAAAGGCACTTATACAATATTTAATTCAAGATAATAATAATAACTTTAAGAAATGCCACGTAAAACAGCAACTTGATGGATGATGTGAAATGGCGTCGAGAGAGGTGATTGAGACACGTTAAATACATCTAATAATCGCCTATCTAAACATGTATGCTTTCTGGAGTAATGGCAATGACGACAAAAATACTTCAAAGCACTTAAAGTGACATACTCATTAAATTTTCGTCAGGAATATATATAGGAGTTTCTCGAATTTACAATTCACATCTACGAGATGATGGAAACGAATCATCGGAGAAATTAGGCTACGTAGACCAAGTCATCCTCAACGGTAAAGACTAACCTATTGCCAATTTAGCCCTGAAGGTTAATACTATATTATCCTGTTTTTTACATTCACTTATCAAAGTTATATTTTACAATTTATTTAAACAAATATTGGTACAAGGAGGCACCAAATAGATATGCGCCACATAAACCATTTGATTTGCGTGAGGACCGGATACTGCCCAGGTGCGGATAATTTCAATTATTTTATTAATTTCGTGTTCACTTTATAAACTCTCTCATAGTATACTATAATTAGGTACATATCCACTTATTTACTTCGACCAGTACATTATTTAGTACAAAGATTGGTGCAATATAAATTATTATATTGCCAAAGTAAGTTTATAAGACCCTTATCAGTGGCTTGAAAATATGAACCATATGAAGCAGAGAGAAAGCCACATCACTTCAAATGAGTAACTCTAAGCAAAAACAGGGATTACTTGCTTTACTGAAAAAATGTGCGTTAAAATATGTGGTCTAGGACATTTGCAAAAATGTTTTTTGAGGAACAAGTCAGTCATTGAACTACCTAAACTCACAAAAATATCAGCAACTAAAAGTGTTGTGTGAATCTTTGGGTGGGATGATCGAATTTGTGCACAATAGGTTTATTATCAGTGTCTAATATAGTATAAAACCAAGACAATGAAGTAAGGTTAAGTAGATAAAACGCTCAACCTCTAAATATTGGACTACAGGTTCGGAAATCAAGCTATCTGCTTTCGTTACAGAAATCAGGGTTTACATACCAACTATTTAACGAAGCTATAGCATTTAGCAGTTGAATAATAGGTAAAACGCGACTCTCAGACATTAGATTGCAGGTTTCTATCTCCCTAGCTTACGTTAGAGACATAAATAGCCGATAAACAGATTTAAAGCTGACTACACAATAGTCCATTTGGTGACCGAGTTAAACTGCTAAAACAGGTGGAGCGTACTCCATCGACTGAGTAAAGTGACTATACCACAGAACGACAACCTAACAGTCATCCTGAAGGCTAACTTTCACTTTGAACTTGTCTCCTATCTGTGAAATACGACATTTATTTTGGGATGATAACCTTTACTAAAATGGAAACCGTTGGACTAAGCTAGAAGTGTATATATTCATACATGTGAATGAGTTTAAGGTATATTCAAGCCTAAATTAAATCAGTCGCATTATTCTCAGAGTATGACGACTAAGTTAATTTATGAGGACAAGAAATATCACTTTTACAGTGAAATAACTAATAGTTTCTGTAGCACATGTTGATAAATTAGGTTGGAATCCTATTATCATGAGGTACACAAAATACACTGCAAAAGAGTATTTCGATTACGGAATGAAATGCAAAGTATGTAAATGAATATTATAGCCCGGAACCTCGTAACTTCGTCGCAATTATAGTTTCTGATATAAAGAGATTAATCAACAGCAGTAGTTGTTGACAGTAACCCTATGATGAATGGAGCATACGTTTTCGACATTTTTAGCTATCGTTGTTCACTAGAATGACATAAATTAACTGTCACTGTGTGCTAAAACCTATGTGGAACACTTGTAATATGTTCGATGGAGTACACTGTCCAAAGGGATTACCGTAAATTCTATAGATGGAGAGGGGAATAACTGATTTGGTGTCTTGTGTTGGTGTAGTTTCATCGCTGCTAACAGAAAAACCCAGCACACATAAGAGACTTGTTAAATCTAAGTTTGAAAATTTTTACCTGAATAGATAACTATATAACTAGCCGTTCCCTAACACCATAGGCACAAACCATATGAACTAAACGTCGTATTCGCTGTTATAAACGTGTGCACAATCATAGTTAGGAAGAAGCTAATATCATAATCACATAGAATACAGTGAAATTTGGAGGATAAATAATTTGTACTGCGATCAGGAGTGAGAACGAATATCGGTTAAAATCCAAATTTAATTGACAAAAATGAAGAAACGGACTAATGTTAAAATGCTGGGTCCGTTTGTAGCTTATAAGATAGATCCTGGGTAGGGCTATTTAGTCCTATGTCAATTAAATTCAATTTGCTTTTAAGCGCAATCCATGCATAGTCGATCCCACCTAAAGAAAAAATGAAATCAGACATTTTTAAGTGATGCATTTCTCAACCAGGTATGGATAAACCTCTAAGCATAAAAAACAAGCAGCACTAGAGCTTACTAAATATAAGTGCGACTACACCACTTCCAAAACTGGTTTGGTCGGGATGGAAATTGAAAGGAGTGCTTGATTCTCATTGGTTGGTTGTTAACGCGCTGACTGTGATCATTTACATAGTTTTCGTTGGAAATTGAATTCCTACTCGTTAGAATAACTTGTACATGTCAAACAAAACAATATGCGTTTGCAGCTAACTTTTTTACAACATTATGGATATGATGCTGAAATTCCCTCAAGCACAGTAAAAATATTTTCAACACGTTTCAAAAAGGGCAATGACTTTCATACTTGTTGTGATTATCGTTGCTGTTGTGTATTTGCTGTATCAAAAGCATTCTTGGTCTACTTTAACTTGAATTAATTCAGTTAAAGTTTGAAATTTTATTGAAAACTTTGTCTCGTGGTTCCTTCTTTTGCATATACTCTGACGCTTGTGCTATTATTGTGATCATATTGTTTTTTAAACCTAATCTGATTACAATGATTGGTAGTTCATTCAAATGTGGACAGCCGAACTGTTTATACTCCGTAGATGAAGGGATGAAGTGCGATGAATGCAAAAAATGGTTCCACAAGATGTTATGGAGATATGACCGACAAGCTTATTTTGTAAATAGTTTTTAATATTATTTGTATTTGTTTTGTCAATTTTTCACTGTATGTACATTCATCATTAAATGAATGTACATGTTGTTTTAGTCAATGACCTTGAAGACACTTTCCGTTGTGATTCCAACATAGCGTGACATCTTCTTTCTGGCTACCAAATACATTAATACTCACACATCCCTCGTTCTGTTTTCATTCGAGATTGAGTTAACTTAGTTCTAAAACAAATATTATTTACATTCATAGACTGAGAAAGTGAATACATCATATCTTACTGTGGATTACAATACTGGGGAGATCATCTATACGTTTGGAATTACTAAGCATCTATAATTGTGGATTTATTGTACCAGATCAAAGTCGATCACGCATCATTTCGGGTGAACTTAAGTAAAGTCCCATTATTTATTGTAATTGTAACATTTAACTTATATATATTAATATTACTATTTGTTATTAACTTTGTTGGTATCTTTTGCGTTTATATATTGTCTGGTCCGCCACAATTATTTGGTGAGCCTCGATTATTTTTTATAGACATTTACTATATATATCTACATAATTTACTATTATTATCAATTGGCACGACACCATTTTTTTTGTTTTTTTTTACATTATGGACTCTCCTAAGAAACTTATCGATATTGATGGCCCACCAACCAACTCCTTTTATTCATCACAGCCAGAAGATGTTTTAAATTCAATTAACGCTATTTCTGAACTAAGATTACCGACATACGGTGTTAATAATCCCAGGATTTGGTTTACACAGGTTGAGGCATTATTTTTGGCGAGGGGTATACGTTCACAGGCGACTAAATATGCCCACATCGTCGGTGCACTACCTATAGATGTAGCAACGGAAGTCAGTGACCTGATAGATAACGTACCAGAAACGGACCCCTATGACAAAATAAAAGCTGCAGTGATCCACCGTACTTCGCAGTCTGATGAAAAACGCTTACAGCAACTACTCACCGCATGCGAGTTAGGGGACAAAAGACCTTCACAGTTGTTTAGACATATGAGACAACTAGCAGGCCCATACAAGTTAGACGAAGCATTACTTAAGCAGATATGGTTACAAAGTTTACCATATAACGTCAGACAAATCCTCAGCGTATCAGGAACCTCTGTCAGTCTTGATGATTTAGCAGACACGGCCGATAAGACGATAGAAACATATCCTGATAGTCACGGCGTTAGCGCGATACAATCCTCAAATACAGAAAACATGAGCGACGCACTCAACATCCAACAACAAATAACACTGTTAACACAGCAGCTAGCATCACTGCAGGCGACTGTTTCCACCATCCATTCTCGACCTCCCAGATCTACGTCCAGAAGGAGATCAGTATCCAGACATCGTCTTAGGTCACCTAAGCCGGCAGCCGGAATTTGTTGGTATCATTCGAATTATGGTGAGAAAGCACGTTGTTGCACAAAACCGTGCAACTTTAGGACAAACAACCCAATCTATCAGGGAAACGAAGTGGCCAGACAGTAACGGCGGCAGCTGCTACTGGCCAACATGTTAGCCGCCTATTTCACGTCAGGGATCGCATTTCTGGCTCGGACTTTTCAGTCGATACTGGAGCAGAAATCAGCATCATCCCACTCCATCTCTCCCGCAGACAACAGACAGCAAGCACTAAACTGTCCCTAATAGCGGCTAACGAATCAGTTATCAAAACTTACGGAGAGCAATCTCTTATATTAGACCTCGGGCTCCGCAGAAGATTCACATGGGTATTCATAGTTGCTCAAGTCAAACGACCCATCCTCGGGGCCGATTTTCTTAGTGCGTACAACCTGTTAGTAGATATGACC